GGCTCACAAGCCATATTTTGCCCACCCCTGCTTTAATTTCAGTGTCAGTTGGCATAATGCCCTTCCTAATGTCCTCTCCTAAATTACCACATTTATTGCATAACACATGCACCTTTCCCCAAACAGTTAGCAATGAAAAATTGGGATGCATGTCTTAAATTAGGTAATTGATTTCCACAAGGCCTAGAGGTTCAGATCTTGTGGGGCTAGGGCAGGATTCCCCCTTCCTCATCTCCACTCCCCTCCCCCCTGATGCATGGATAAAAGCTACTGGTTTAACCCTTTCAGAACTGCTGCTGAATTACGGCTTCACTGTCAAAGTGCCAATCTGCATATAAATAGGCTGTGAGAGAGTTAACCTGTGAGGGTTATAGGTGTGGGGAAGGAGGCTGATGAGAGGACTCTATGCTCATCCCAGCCCCTACAGAGGTAAGATTGCCCATTTCCTCTACCTTTTTCAAAGAAAAATCTTTTGTCATGGTGCATGTCTTATCTAGGGTGTGTGGTATGCAAATATATATGCTGTGCTGCATTTTCTGCTGTTGAAAAGATTCCATAAATCACTCAAGAGGGGAATGCATTTCAACATTGGGGAAAAGTGAGCTCTTCCTAGTTCCTCACTTGAGCAAAGAGGTTTTATGAAGCACTTTGAGACAGGTACACAGAAGTTGTAATAGCAGTGCAAGTAATTAAAATGTCTGGTACAGAGACAACAAGGGAAGTCATAATCACATTAGACTTCCTGACAGTCAGCACAGAATGCTCCTTATAAAGTAAATTTAGGTAAATGCTACAATTTTTACAGCTCGGTTAGTAAAAAACAAAATGGCTGCAAGTATCATGAAATTTATATAAAGATTTTTTTTACCGCCATTGACAGAGATGTTAAATGTTTCTTTTGCAGATGTCAGATCTTCAGTCTCCTGTTCATTCTCTTTGGTACTCTATTAGAACAAAAGAGTGCATTTTCTTTAGGTTATGTAAACAATATCACTACATAGTCAAGTTTGAAGATGCACACTCTGTACTCCAGGACACAGTATGCTTTCCTACTGCCATTCTCCTAAGAGGCCATTAACTTCAAATGAAAAAACACTGTCATTGTTGGCATTTACTATAATAATGTTTCAACTTGGTCTAATTAACTTACCCCTGGTACTTCTACAAAGCAAATCCCTGAACACAACAGCAAAGCCCCAAGTGCCCTTAATGATCTACCCAACTATGCAAATGTACAAAAATAAACACAAAGTGCTGACAGACCACGGCTGGGCACTCTTAAAACAAGATAAAAGTGGGGGAAAAACACTAAACCAGGAGCTCATTTCAAAGGGGACTGACCTATTTAAGCATATGCATATATTTAGACGTGAAAGGCCAGTTCCTATTCCACTTATTAGGCATCTAAATATACCAACACAAATAGACTTAGACACCTACATGCACTTCTAGTCCAACTTGCTCAAGTCTGTAAAGTTGTTAATATAAAAGATGAGCAATTCTTCCTCCTTGCTATTGTTTTGTGACTTAAACTTAAGGGCAATTTGGCAGTTTTTACAAAAGTAAATACATTAATGGATTTTTGGGATCTGAGCAGGGTGGAATAGAATCATACTAGATGTCCAAGTCCATTTAGACACCCAACAGGTGGAACAGAATTGGGTCCTATAAGCAATAGTATTTGAATAAAAAAAAGTGTTTGGCATTTCTGTGCATGCTACACAGAACAATAAAACAAAAACGTAGTTCGAAAACATTAACCCATTAATCTTCCCACCCTCACTGTGAAGTGTGTGACCAAACTAGTTGCATCTTGCAGAAACAGAAAATAAAAAAGGAAAGTCACTGGCTGAAGGTCTCAGAGGAGACAGCACCCAGGCATCTAACTGCTCTGGCAAAATGGATCTGGTTGGTGTGTACTGTTTTTAAATAAGCAGTTTCACCTAGAAAAAAATGCTAATCTCTGCACTAATGCTACTCAGCTTTCACTCAACTTTACTACAGGGAGACACTGTACTGCTCATTCTCGTAAGATATTGGGCACGCTGACCCATCCCCTCAAAGCACTCAAGCTTAACTTTGGACACTGAAATCAACTGGACTGCTCTCATGCTTGAAGGGCTTTGTTAAATAAAGGCAAAAATGTTCAGTGTCTTACAGAATAGAGTCCTGTGTGAGATTTTAATAAGACAGCAGAACACATCTACCCAGAAGCTTTTTATCCTAATTTTGGAATTTAAACAAAACCCATTTAAGAAATGCATAATCCCTAGTGAAAGTCTCTTCAAATAGTCCTCCAGTTTTTTAGAGCAGTGGTTCTTGGTTTTTTCAGTCACGACACTCCATCACTTTTCTTTTCAATGCAGTGACAACGCCAACCGAAAACCACCGTTGAGCTCAACTTGCTTCAGTGGTTCTCAACTGGGTGCTACTATAGCCTCAGTCAAGTAAACTGCCCCATGTGCCTGCTGCACATTCAGACTGGAAAGGGCTGTGGTATGTGCAAACTCCTCCTGCATTAGGGTTCTCTTTTAACCCTAAAGTAAGCAAGAGAGCTGACTTGTACTGCCATACTTCCCAGTCTAACCTTGCACAGTATCTCCTTGTAACAGGGGCAGCACACATTTCTGGGAGGAGCACGCCAGGCAGTGGAACCAGGAAGGGCCAGAGTACACACCAGCTTTTCTCCCTGTTTTACCATAAGCATAGAACCCTAATTCAGAAAGTGCACACGCACTGCAGCCCTGCATACAAGCTAGACTTTTCTGGCCACCACAGCAGTGGCAGCACGTGTGTAAGCACCCCTCATGGAGTCTTGCACCACTCCAGTTGAGAACCACTGCTTTAGAGTATCACTCAAACCTATGCATACAACCTGTTCCATGGCCAATCCCTCCCTCCCCTGTATCTTATTTGCAAAACAAAGAAATGAATGCAGGGATGTGACAGTGAAAACATACTATGGAAAAATTGCTTTAGGGAAGAAGACAGGTGTGAAGTTAAGACAAAAAAATAGAGGATTTTTGTTTTGGATTGGGGGGTTTTGGTGAAAAATTAAATTTAATATTTGGTTTTAAGGATGGAACAGTGGTTACAGAACACTCTGGTGTGTTAACATTGACTTTGGGCCAAATCTCAAATATTTACTACTACCATCATACAAACACCTGTTAGCTAATGCTGTGCTTGATTTAAATCTTCTTCTACAGAAAACATTAACTTGTAAGTCAATCACAGCTTCATAATTCAGCAGAGGCTATGTGCCGTAACCATTATTTTTTTCCATTAAGAGTTTAATAAAATACAATAAAATATCTAGATTTTCAAATGACAAGCATATATAGACCTTACTGGGCAGTTAGAGGAAATCAAAGTAATTTAATACTGTTACTCTTACAAGCTATAAGCCAGAATTCAACACCTATATCTCTAAGTTTGTCTAGTCTGTAAAAAAGGGCATGTTCTTAAATAATTAAGAAGATAAAGTTTTACTAAAACTAATTCAGGCTCATCCAGAAGCCTGGAGCTGAATTCAAGTGGCTACAACAGAGTTAAAACTGAGACTCTCTCATCTTCACTGCTAGTTTAACTTAAATAGCTAACAAGAATTAGCCAGCCAAATTAAAGACCACATCTTTTCTCTGCAGTGTACTTTAAAAATGGCACTAAAAATATTAGTAGTGCACTTGGCCAGAGAGTAACAAAAATGGGTGGTCTGGGTATGATGTGCCCAGAATGAATTTTAGCTGTGTAGCAAACTACCTGCATTACCAGAATGAATATCCACAAAATAAGCTGTAGAAGAATTTGGCCAATTTAATTAGTGCCATACTCAAGAGCAATAAGGGCTCTCTCTCTCTGTCATATTGATTACTGAGATGACTGGGAATAGGCATTCCTAAACTGTTTCACTCTGTTCTGTATAATTTGGAATAATCATGGGGTTTTGCAGCTGGTAGTTTCATTCTAGACAAACAGCAGGGAGAGAAAAAAGAAAGACAAGAGAAGGAAATGAGGAAGGGAGCAAAACTGAAGAAAGGGACTAGATCAAGTGAAATGACAGCCCAAAACTTTGTGTATGTTTAATAAATGCTGGAGGGTGAAAACTGGTTGGCTGAAGTATGCAAGGTTATGCCAACTGTGCTACGGCAATCAATCCACTCCCACCAAAACGAACACATACACTATCAGCAAAATCTCAGCCCCACAGGAGTTAATGACAGAACTCCAATCAACTTCACTAGCACTAGAATTTCACCCAATACAGCTTTGCACTTATTATGCAATATATTTATTATTATATATACCCACAGCATGTCCCAATAAGAAAGAGGCATTAAAAAGGAAGTAAATTGTTAAATGTAGTAGTTGGATGAGGGCAGACAAGGTTCTTTGGGTAAATCTGATATCTTTTATTAGACCAACTCAAATAGTTGTAAAATTCTTCTTATCAAGCTTTTGAGTTTAAAAACCCTTTGTCAGGCTGAGGAAGCACCTGCAGTTGGTGTGTGCTGTTCCTGGATGGAAACTTTTCCAACTATTTGAGTTGGAAAATTTTTTCCAACTATTTGATTTTGGTTTAATAAAAGATGTCAGATTTACCCAAAGAACTTTGTCTGCTTATGCCCTTAGAGCAACATGGCTACAACCTACATCCCTGTAGTTGGAAGAATGAATGCTCAAAATGGTTAATACAGAGGGAATGCATACCTCTCCCAGGAACTGCTCCTCAGCAGCGTGACTTTCTTCACTGTCATTTAGTACTAATTGGTCATATTCTTTAGGAGCCTTATGCAAAGAATAGAGGATGATATTTGGAGAAGTTATCAGGAGAGAGGGAAGAAGAAGTTAAGAAACAACAACGTTTAAGAATGCATATAAAAAAGCACCATGACTGAGATTGCCAACTATTCATAAATGTATGGACAGTCCATAAAGAACAAGCTTAAAAATGCCTGGCTGTAAAGCTGATTACAAAATGGAACCATCTGTAAAAAAACTAAGAAACCCTGAGCTTGATTGAACTTCACCCAAAATGAGAATGGAGGTAAGCCTTGATGCACCTGGTATCTGAGTGGGCATGCAGCACCCTGAAGAGAGCACTCTTTCGGGACTTTGAATCCTGTAACTTCCTCCCTCCCAGCCATGTGCTGTTGCAGCCACATTCAGCCACTTGCCTGTACCACTGGGTCACATGTAAGCAGACAGCAGTACTTCTTTGGAGGCCTGTGCTGAGAAAGGGGGAGTAGGGTTGGCTGGGGGAGGGGAGGTTGGAGCATAGGGTAGGGTGCAGTCAGGGGTGTCAAGGTATGGGGATGAGTGGGGAACACCTGGGGTGGGGCCACTATAGTGTCAAACCATTTCTGCAGTCAAGCAGGGTTGCCAAGCTGAGAATTATTTTTATTTTTTTTTACTGACAATCTACAAGCTTTTTACTGACAACTAAAATTTTTAACTATGGTTGGTGTTAAAATACTAAGTTTGAACCTGACCCTAGTCCAGGGCCTGGCAGAAGGGCTACATTTACATTACATAAAACATATATCAATAAAAAAGTGTGGCTGTCAATATGAAGTTTGCAGATTGTCAGTAAAAATAAATAAAGAAATAAATGATTTTGGGCTGGCAACCATAATCTCCACTGACATTCAGGATTAATCTGCCAGCTGCAAGGGGAAATAAATTAATAAAATGCATACACTTCCATTATCAGTTTTTAAATTAGCTACCTGTAGGCTTTTTCTTCAATTTGAAAAATGCTGATGGGAATAGCCTGAGTCACTCTAATGATGAGGTATGTTTGTAACAGGCAAGACAGAGAGCAAGAAGCAATCTGACAGAGAATGCAGCAAGTTAAGGGCACACTTCATTGCTGCTACAGAGCAAAGCAATTAAGTGATGTGAGAACAATGCAAATCATTCCTCCAGGAATCTCAGACTTAGCCAGTGAAAATGAAACTATATCAGACCATACCCCTGGCTATACTGTATACAGAAGGACTGAGCTAGAAAACCTTCTGCTATATCTTAATGAACTCCCTCAAGCCCCTACAAGTCAAGTACAGCAATGTATACTCTGCAGGCCACAATGCTCCCTTTGACAGCAGCACAGTGTGCTGACTGCTGATGCAATCCCTTCCTCCTCTCACACCTGAACCTAGCCTGCACTAGCAACATGACCTCTACATCATTACTCTATCCAGAGCTCCCTTCCCCACCTACTTTATTCTAAATGCTCAGGGCAATATTCTCCCTGCTGTCCACCTTGGGAGCAATGAGGGCTTATACAAACACAACTACATTTTTCCTCCAACCTCCCACTACCGTGAGTTACTACTTTTAATTAGATGTAATCACAGGGCATCACCCTTCATTTTTAGCAGGTTTAAAAGTAGATAAAAACTGGATTACAACAAATGTGACTTGTGGAAAGAGTGGGAAGGCAGGGAGAAGAGCTGCTTAGATTTGGACTAGTTAAGGAGATGGCTATTCGTTCTGTGGTTTCAAAGATGCTATGGTTCCCCTCAGACCTGGAAAGGGAGGCCATACAACAGAAGTCAGCTTCTGTTGCAGTCCTTTTTGTTAACAATTTGGTGCCTGCAAAGGTGTCCTTTGCTATCCATATCAGTTAATGAAGTTGTCCTACTCTCAGAGGCAACATAAAACTCTGTAGCAGAAATTAACCAATGCATTAAAATGGCAGAGCAGAGAAAGCCTCATGTCAAGACGAATCTCTCCCAAAGCAGACAGGGATCATAAAATAAACACAATCTTAACCACTAACTGGATGATAGAAAAAAATAGATAGTGAAATTTACATAGCAAAAACTCCAGTTTAAAAAAAATATATGAACAGATGCCTTAATTAAATCTACATCAGCATACATATAATCTGGGCCAATTACTGAGCTAAACCAGAATTAAAACAAACATCATTTCTATTGCTCTTCGCTTACCTCTTCTTTGCTTACCTCTTCTTGCTCACCATCTGCTAGACTCTCTCTATTCAGAGCAGAAGTAATCTAAAAATAATTAAGACTTGTCAATAAAAAGTATTTTTATGTTAAGGGGTGTGTTCATAAGAATTAACCTCTCATAGCTCAGGAAACAGCAAAACTGGGGATGCAGCTAATACTGAGTTTGCAAAACAATGAAAATCATGCTGGAATTTTCTTTTATCAGCCTGGACAAAAATTTACCTGAAAACCCACTGAAATATCTGCACACTGAACTCAGTTGCTTATCTAGAACAGTATTTAGGGAGCATGCCCAACTACAACACTAGAAAAATATTAATGGTATTAGAAAGTCCACACTGCTAAACAACTTTTGATGGAATTTATTGCTACCATAAGCTTGACTATAGAAGTTTTCCCTTTTGCAATTTTGATTTCTTTGAGACATAAAATTGTATTTCAATGATATTTTTAGCATAATAGGGCCCAAACTTGTCTGAGGTTTCTGGGTGTTACCATAGTATGAACACTGATAATAATAATAATACTGCAGAATATCTAAAAATATATATCTATAGTGTCTATAGTCTATAAAAGTGTATATAGTGATTAGTGAAACTGTACCATCAGCAATCATATTTTAGCACCGGCTGTGCCAGGATGGTTTCAACCACAGCATGGATGAGGCCTTACAATTACATTTTTTTGCAATGTGAATTGTCTGTCTAATTCCCAGGATTCCCTTTGAAAAATCTCACCTTAATATAGAGATATATAAAGTTAAAATTTAAGATAACATCAGTCCATCATCTAGGCAGCATGGATTTTCTAATATCACTAATTTCATCTATTTTTTTTTTTAGCTTTATAGGCTGGACATTAGCCCTAAATGCTGTTCTAGCTCAGAAACTGAGTTCAGTATGCAAATATTTTATTCTGGACCAGTGTTTTTTTTGCCTTCAGGTTACTGCCAATACAGTAATGAAAAGTGATATTTTAGAAGTTCCCAGGGGCTGACCAAAGTGCTAGCTGAAAAAAGAATAAAATAAAGCAGCATGCTACTAGATGTTTATTCTGACAATCTTAAGGCAGTTGTCCTTTTGGTATTTATGGTAAGGTAAGGAAGCTAAAAATAAGTTGAGATTCATATGTATTGATTTTGAAGAAGTTGTTAACTCTAAAGACAAGCCACTTTTTGTTGAATCAATATAAATTGAAAACATGGATTCAGTTCAAAGGGCAATTATGGCTGAAAATTTGCTATGAAAAACACTTTCTTCTTGCTCAACAAATATTTGTCTCATATACAGGCTTATGGTGCAGTTCAGTATTTCAGGTCACTTTACCAATACATATGTATTACTTTTGGTTCTTGTAAGCAGTGGATATGCAACTGAACTGTGGAAGGTGAGGTGGATTCTAATTTGGATTATGCATAATTAATAAAGTTGTAAGCAAGGCTCTGAGTGCTAAGTCTTGATTGCTTGGTGGTGCAGAAGCCAGAAAAAATTCATCTGGACTTTCAGACGGCAATCAGACCTTACAGAATGGGCATTTCTCATTACAAGGCCATTTGACCTGCATAACAGGATTGAAGGATAAGGTGTTAGGAAAACTCATATTTTATTTGGAATCAAAGCAGATTTCCCTTGAAACATTTTGAGACACAGTCATGTTTCCTTGAAATCACATTGTGATTTTATGGAGTTACTTTCTGGAACAGACTCACACTTCAACATTTGGCTAGAATGCAGATTACAATGAGTAAAATGACTGAACCAATTTAGTCCAAACTAAAGGAAGAAATCCAGGAAATTTTATGGGCAGAAGGAAAACTTCGCAGAACATACAGCATTAGGGAAGTACGATAACGGCATGAAGAGCTGGCCCACAAAGGCACATCAAATTTTAAGGGTTCCTAGGGCACAAAGGCACAGAAGATACCAAGAATTTTCTTCTGTAGAATACAAAGATGCAGAGTATAGATACAGTGGAGTCATTTCATATTTCAGAACAAAAAAATTCACCTGAAAAATCAGTCAAGTTCTATTTCACTGTAGTTTAAACTTGCACAGTCTATACAGATTATCACTAAATTCTAAAGATGTGCAATACTGGCACATATTCCAGTACCCTTTTTTTATTCTGAACAGTTTTATATTCTCTTAGTAAAATATATGAGCTTCAGTTTTAAAAACAAGAATGCAAAATTGTGGGTTTGCAAAAGTCATCCCCTTATCTTACTTAGGCAGATCTTGTTTCTGAAGACCAAACAACTTCATCACTCCAAAAGCAGGATATGTTTTTAGGTTAGAAAGAAGTGAAGTGGTCCTAAATAACTCAAGATGCCAATTGCAAACCAGGGAAACCTCCTCCCTTTCTGAACGCAGTTATGATTTTTATTACTTTTTCTTTCCTAAAGTTGCCACCAAGTTCCAAAAAGAGGTTCTGTTGTTACTTGTCACCTACAGGCCCCAGCTTGAACACATTGAATACATCACTGAAGGACCTCCAACCCCTCCCAGAAAATGATGACCATTATATCAAGCCAGCACTTGGGGATAATCCTGTCCTGGTTTATAGGCTGCCCCCCCCCAATCTCAAACAGCAGCTCACCAAGCCAACCGACCTTGCTACAAGCCCAGGTGGGCAGTTGTGGCCCCTCATCAAAACAGACCACATCATCACTGGACCAAACAGCAAGGATAACATCTGGAGTTCATTCACCTGCTCCTCTACCAACATCATATTGCCATCACATGTTTACAGTGCCCCTCTGCCATCTGTATTGGACAGACAGGGCAATCCCTAGGTGAAACAGTGAATGGACACTGATCTGAGATCAGTTCTAGAAAGACACAAAAGCCTGTGACAGAATACTTTAACCCCCCTGGACATTTCATTGCTAACCTCAGAGTGGCTGTCCTTAAACAACTTTAAAAACCAATTTGAACACAAAATTGCAGAACAAGAAATCATCTGCAGACTGGATTGTGTTAAGTATGATCTCAGGAGAGACTCCAGATTTGTCCCCCATTCCTTGGACTAGCTTTATAAACCCCAATGTCCCTCAGTGGGTTAATTGTTTCTCTTTTGACCTCTTCAGACCCCTCCTTTCCATATCCTTTTTAATTAAATTACTTTATTCCTTTCTATTTTAGTACCCCTTCTCTCTGCAAGTCCATTCATAGCATCTGATGAAATAGGCTGTAGCCCAGGGGCGACCAATTATTTTGGGTGGAGGGCTGCTTACCAAGTTTTGGCAAGCTGCCAAAAGCCACATGGGTAGCCTTGCCCCTTGACAGGTACCACATCCCCTGGTTGCCATCTTGGGACCACAAGTCCTGCCCCTAACCTCTGACCTTTGCCATCAGAAGTCCCTCCCCTTGCCCTTGGAAGTACTCCTTTGGGGAAGACAGTTTGCCATCTCAGAATGGAGAAAAAAACAAATTATATACTAAAAATAAAAAAACCAAAATAATAGATTTTAATTTAATTTAAAATAAACATTTTTGTCCCGATTTGTGTGTTTGTGCTGTATACATAGAAGTGATTGTATAATAGCTCAAAATGCAGTCTTACTCTTGTATAGTGTTTGTGGGTGTGCAGGGGTATTGGGGGTATAGGTGTGTGGGAATGGGGAGTTTGTGGGGATGTGTGGATGGGTACGGTATTTGTGGAGCATGTGATTGTGTGGGGGAGGGTGTATCTGTGGGGTTTGTGGGAAGGGTTTGAGGATATGTCTGGTGTACATGGGAGCCCCCTGCGCACGCCTCCCTGAGCTGGTCAGCACCTGCACCCACCTCGCAACAGCTCAGAGCCCACACGTCCTGCAGCATCCCTGCCACCACCAACAGTACACAGCCCCAGCAGGCTCCACACCTGCTCTGCACAGCCCAGCTGTGGCATGTCCTGCCGCCCCTGGGCATGCAGTGAGGAGCAACGCATGCAGCTGCAACCCTGTGCGCCCCGTGCCAGCGCCAGGCTCACCCACTGGGGTTGAGCAGCAGTGGCAGCAGCAGTTGGACAGAAACTGCTGCTCGACACAGGGGAAAGCGGCCCCTTCATCTCGCTGCCACTGGGCAGTTTTTGCTGTGGCTGCCCAGACCCCACGCTATGCTGGCCTGCCCTGCAGCTCCTCCACCACTGCCTCTGGGCTGCCTAGTACGGCAGCAGTGACAGTGTGGTGCTGCAGGGCACCTCACAGGTGGCAGTGAAGGAGCCACACCACAGCCTAGCACAAAAACTGCCCAGTGGCAGCAAGGGGGAGGGACCACTATCAAGGTTCCCTCTAAGGTGCGCGTGTGCGCGGTCACACACAACTAAAAGTGTGGCTGGGCACAGCCTTTTCAAGGCCATGCACCAGGAGAGACTGGGGCGGGAGCCTGACACAGGCTCCGCTGGCTCCAGGGAAGTGCTCCGCTCCCCCGCATCAGGGCCAGGGAGTGCAGCACTTCTCCAGAGCCAGCAGAGCCCGCCCCAGCCGCTCGTGCAAGCCTCCATCCCAGCCTTGCCTCACCTTGGGGAGGAGCCACTGCCTGTCCCGAGTGAGGCTCTGCCAGCTCTGGGACGCTGCTCCGCTCCCCCACATCACCTCAGGGAGCGAGGAGGCACATGGTATCAGGGCCAGGGAGCGAAGCAGTGTCCTGGAGCCGGTGAAGCCTCACTGGGGCAGGCAGTGGCTCCTCCCCAAGGTGAGGCAAGGCAGGCATGGAGGCTGGTGTGGGCTCCACCGGCTCCAGGGAAGTGCTTCACTCCCTGGCCCTGATGCGGGGGAGCAGAGCACTTCCCTGGAGCTGGGGAGCCCGCACCAGGCTCCAGCTCCAGCCCTTGGTCCCTGGCTCCAGCCACCACCCCCTGGTCCCAGCCACTGGCCCCAGCCCCCGGCCCCCAGCCCCAGCCCCAGGGCTCCAACCTCTGGTCCCAGCCCCTGGCTCCCGGCTCCAGCATCCGGCCCCTGGCCCCAGCCCTCAGCCCCCTTCAGTAAGTGTCCCACACTGGACTGAGGCGGCGTGCTCACGGACCAAGGCAGCGCGCTCATAGACCAGTGTACCTTAGAGGGAACATTGGCCACTTTCCCCAGGGCTAGGCAGGGCCAGGTGAGCCTTGCTGTTACAGGGTCCTGTCACGGCTTCCCCTGGGTCCTACTGCCCCCAGCTCCTGTCATCAATATTAATTTTCTACATTTTTAGGGGCACTGCAGGCAGAATAGAATGGCCTGGCAGGCCGGATCCAGCCTGTGGGCTATATTTTGCCCACCCCTGCTGTAGCCTCTCTGAAGCAGTTAGTTTATAAGGTAACACCTGTCCCACCTTCTGTCTAAGTTCCAAAAGGAATATCTTAGTATTTAAAACTAGTTAAATAAACACTGAATGTGCTCAACTGTTCTTTAAACTGGGGCTCACATATATAGAGATGCAATTCTGTAACTCATATCACTAGTTAAAAGAACCAGACTGAAAATTTCAAAGCGGTCTAAACAACTAGACAACTGAGGTTAAAGATGTGTATCTAAATCCCTCAAACTCCTTTAGAATTGCTCAGCTGGAGTGCCAACACCAAGAGAATATCAACCATAAGAATTCTGCCTTGGAAATAATAAGCTCTACAAAGAAACATCCTCTGGATCTCCTGGGGATTTTACATGGTTTATTTACATCATATTTCAAGAGTAGAGGTTGGATTTTTTTTTGCGTCTTCTTGAGCAGTGAGCATATTGCTGGTGTTTCTTCAAGTGAGCTGTATTTAAATAACCTAAGGGGACAACCTAGAAGGTAATAATTGCATTATAGCCTGCACTCTGACCATTTATGCCCTTCTAGTCCTATACCCAAATGACTATCTCTACTGTTTTTTTCAGATTTACAAGCTGTACAGTCAGTACAAATCCTTCAGCACAAATACATGACAATTTTCAAACACATTTACCTTCTTTCCTAGATCATCTTTCCTGTACCCCAAGAGTTCAAGGTACTTGACACGAGAATCTTCTTCAAAATTTACCTTTAAAAAAAAAAACCCCCAAAAGTTAAAAACCTATTTTAATTCCTGGTTTTATTTTCCACACTGTACTTTCAACTGATTTGGATAACTATTTATTGAGAATTAATGATCATGGACTTTAAACAAAACATACTAAAAAAGATAATTTAAAGTGGAATCTGGGCATTTGACTAGCTACATATAGTATGTGGACTCAGTCAAACAGTTAACAATTCTCCACCGATTCCTTACGTGGAGAAAATAAAAGTGTTATAACTAATCATCAAGATCACATCTTCCTGTACCAAATGGTAAATCTAAGATCTTTTGTCATTTTCCCTAATAGAAAGAGGTACAAGAGGTACAAGGTGCCAGGCCAAACCTTTACAAAAGTTTGTAGGTCTTTACTTTTGCTAGAACATCTTCCAAGAGATGGCTTCTTAGACGCAATTTTCAGTCTAACCTTTCCACAGACCAAAGTGAAAGTTCCCCCATTATCTTTACATAGTGTTTTCTGTTAGAATTTACCGTAACTCCGCAAGCACAGGTGGAAATATTTTTGTAATTTAAACTGTCAGATAGCTGTTACCTTTAAGAAGGCCCACACATTTTTCTCAAAATCTGTCTGAGCCACTTCCATTTTTTTCTGACAGTAGCTGACAAATCCTTCGGACTGCACAGCTTCCTGCAGCTGATTCGAGCGGCTCAAAAACTCCTTCTCAGTGACAACCTGGCTCACATGCACATGGTGGTGTGGTGGCTGCTCAGTTCCTTGCTGCTGCTGGGACTTTGTATTCTCAAATGTAACCAGCTTCCCTCCGAACTGTAATTGAATAAACAATGCACCATGCATTACACAGTGCAGTTATACATCACCACATACATACAAATAGACCCATTTTATCTACAATACATATGTACACATGCATTGGAAACACGCATGTACACACACAGAATGTGTGTGTGTATGGAGAGAGAGAGAGAGACAGACAGACAGACAGACAGACAGAGAATATGTATGTTTTATTTGAAGTTCTGGTCTTTCAAATGTGTACACATACGAGTACTTCCACTGAGTTCAACAGGATCACCTTCATGAATAAAGTTATTCAAGTGCCTCTCAGATGAGGCACACAGCTTACAACAGTGGTTGACAATGTTTTTGGGTAGAGTGCCAAAAATACCAGCAACCTTGACTTGTAAGATGTTGGCACACCACTGGCAGATGGTGGGAGAAAAACAAGGGGCCTGGTCCTTGTGGCAGCACAGTGCCAGCCCCTTCCTTATTGGCCACCCTGAGGTGCACATGCCAAACAAAATTCCTTCACATGCCACACTCTGGCACCCATGCCAGGGGTTGTCTAACCCTGGTTTATAAGCTCCCAAAAATAGCCCCTATATGTAGTTCTACAACATTTAGCATGATGAGGCTCTGATCTTGGCTGGGTTCTTTGGTGCTTTTATAACAATTCTGAAATAAAAACTTTATGTATACACATACATAAATAAGGCATGATATGAGGTACTGAAAAAATATTGAGATATAATTAATAAATAAAATATAGGCAGAAGTAAAAGTGGAAAAGAAAATGCCAAGATCTGAACAGGTGTGAAAGAAAGAAATAAAAATTATAACTGTTTACAGCTTTATGTAGAACAAAAGCCTACATGCATTGATACAAGTGGTGCAAAAGCCAGCATAATTCAAGGCAAAAATTACCCACAAAAGACATAACCTCAAAGTTGGCTATCAAATAACCAGGATGAGGTAATGGGAATAAACAAGTATGTGAATCACTTCTAAAACAGCACAAATTATAGCCTATTGCAGAGGTCAAATTTCACATTAATGTATCAGCTACCAAGTAAGTACGTACACAGTGCTGAGAATAGATCAGTATTTTGGCATAGATATCTATTTTGAGTCAATTTAACACTGACAGAGCAAAAGTCTGATATAACTATATTTTCTCAACAACAAAAAAAGCACACCCCTGTGTATAGTAGGCACCTGGATTTTGAAGGGAAGTCTGAAGTAAAGAGATCTTTGACATAAGTAGCAGCAGCTAGGGAACCAAGCCTGGTGTCAAACTTGAGTGCCAGATAGGGCCCACAGACTGATCCAGGGTGCTGGGGCTAGGGCCACATGCAGAGTTGGATTCCACACACTGACTCTGGAACTATGTGCTGGGTCAGACCCACTGCATTGAGTCTGGGACCTCAGGCCAGGTACAGGGCCATCTGCTGGCTCCAGAACCACATGTTGGGTCTGACCCTGCATGTTGACACTGGAGCCATGTGCCAAGTCCAGGACCACACTCTGACTCTGAAGTTACAAGCTGAGTCCAACCCAGTACACAGCTCCGCAGTCAACGCACAGTTCCAGACACAGTGCACTGGGTCTGATCCAACACATGGTTCCAGAGCCAGTGAGGGGTTGGATGCAGTGTGCCAGATCTAGCTGCAGACCATTCCACATGCCAGCCCAATCCAGCTTGTGGCTGGGGCAGTGGGCTTCCCAGAGATCTAGAATTTGGCAGCAGGAGGGTGCGGTAATAGAAGCAGTGGCAGCATTAATTCCCATGGCTCCCAGAGTCACCACAATTAACACTGCCACCACCCAACTGCAGCCCCCCTTTAAATTTCCAAACCCATGAGGATCCCTTTTCCTCACATATAATGTGCCATCCAATTTTCCCCAGCTGGTTTTGAGGGAAAAAGGTGCAGGGTATACAAGAAATCATGGTAGTCTTCCTTTCATTAAAACAAAAGTCTGTAACTTTTGAAAATAAGTAAACAGTCCAGTCAAAGAAAAGATGGCTCAGATGGACAGGAGAACCTAGCTGAATCTCACCTGGCTAATCTGTGATTTTGATAATCCTTAAGAAATTTAGCAGCCTCAGAGACTCAAAGAACAGCAAAATGCAGAGAGGTCTCCACTACTCTTACTAAGCAGACAGTGTATGTACTAAAACAAGCATCAGAAAATGAAAGCAGGCATATTAAAGTATATAAACAAAAAGTCTGTGGTGATGCACTGGCTTTTATTAACAATTATTTTGTAAATTTTGTTCACTTGGCTGTCAATCAAGCTTTAAAATGTGGTAATCCACAGTAGACCTCCCAGGCATTACTGTAAATTAGTGAAGCTTTATTATACTAATCTGGACCACAAGACTGAATTTCACATCTCTGCTCAACTCTTTATACAGAGTGTATTAGAAAAGTTACGGCAAAGTCAACTGAGTCCAGCCTGTAGTCTGCAAAGAAGATCCCACACTTACTGAAAATGATGCACCCACAGGTCGTCGGATCCACTTGGGTGGCTTCTTTAATGGTAGAACACTGCTTTGTGGAGTTGTCTGCTGTGGAAGCTGCAATGGTGGGAGAGGCTGCCCTGTACCAAATGGATCAAGATTTCCAAAGGAGGAGGAGAGCTTTAAAGAGAAAGAAAGTAATTGCACACTGCCTGCCAAATTAAAATAAATAAAAAAAATCACTTGCATTCAACAGGCTTCTTCATTGCACTGGTATCTATCCTTTGGCCATTTAAAAATTCTGGCATATGGAGGGCATCATTTTCCTCTGCAACTTCACATGCATAACTTAATACTTTTCAGTACCTTGTCTACCTGCTTCTGCCTCAAACCATCTGTGCTTCCTCCCATGATGGAGTAAATGCTGATCCGCCCATCAAAAGAAGCTGCTGAAAGCACAGCAGGGTTTCTGGGACACCACTGAATGTCAAAGCACCACTGTGTGTTTGTGGGAAGTTCATACAACACCTGGGACAAAACAAAGGAGTTTTATGAACAGTATTAAGATAATAAATAATAGTAAGCAGAGCATGCATCTGCAGGACAGGAGACTATGCTTTAAAAGTATTTTATGGTCTGCTGCTTTAAAATAATCTCCAGGGAATAAAGGAAAGATGGGGCTACACTGGAGATAAGGCTTTAAAGAAAAGAAGGATGGCTCTGTGGTGAGACTGCAAAAAAATGGCACTGGGGGTTCCAGGTTCCATGCCCATCTCTGCCACAGCCTTCCATCTTGGGCAAGTCCCTTAAGGTAACATTGTTACAAATGCTACTAAGTCTCATTGAACATCATACTAAGAAACACTGGCACTTCTGAAAATATTGCTAAATTTCTCCGGACCTCACTTTTCCCTCTTTAAAAATGGATACATTACTTCTTTTCTTCTTTCTGTCCATCTCATTCATCTGCTTGGGTTACAAACTTTGGCCCTGGGACTATTATCCTTTAAGATTATGGGCAGATAAACAAATTACTTCATGTCTGGACAGCTACAGGGACCCCAGATCATTTAAAGTTAATGCACTTCACTAGTCATTTCTGCAACAACATGCAAGTGCCTGAAGCCTTAAAATCTCTATTCTGTCTTCTTCTGGACAGACCAACTGTGTAAATGCAGTATATAAATACACCCTTGTAATGGGAGTCTTACTTGCACAGAAAAGCATAAAGAAATATTTTTTGTTTGCCGCATTTTAATGGAAAGAGCAAAGGAATAAAGGAAATTTGATCTTTACTAAGTTCTTTTTTAGGAAGAATTTGATCTGAAGCTATCAACTGGCTTCTGCAAGATATGCAGACAGCCCTGAAAACTTCCTAGTCACTATAGCCAGTTCAAAAAAACTTTAGCAACAAAAGCCCAAAACTCTATAGACTGTTGTAATTCAAATTCTTAAGGGGTTTTAAATCACTAGTTTTGATCCACAAAGCCTTGGTGTCCCCTTTTAATTATGTCTTTTGAGGCACTCTATAAGCCTGGTGGCTGTTGCATGATGTGGGTGCAAGTAAAATGTAAGTGGAGATAAATGCTGGGGTGGGTGCTTTGCTTCATGTTTACTTTCATCAACATTTTGTGCATGGTTTAGGGACTTACAAAAATAAAACAGAATCAGACCAACATTTCTGGGCAGCTTGTTACAGGCACTTTTAAATACCTAGAAAAAATGCATTTATAAGTTAAAACTATGTTGTTACTACTCTCACTCTGTTTCTTTGAAGCTATGAGAGCCCTCTGGTGGGCAGAATGATGTTACCTGTATATTTTCCCACCAATTGTAATCAAACACTCAAGTCTTCTTAATATAGACTCCATGCCCTTCTTTAGGAGTATTCAGCTAACATCCTGCTAAGGATGAAAGTATTACGGCTTTTCTGGGTTGTTGGCTGTAGCCATGTTGGTCTAACAGCATAGGCAGACAAGGTTCTTTGGGCAAATGTGATATCTTTCATCAGACCAACTAAATAGTTAGAAAAATTGTTCTTTGCAAGCTTTCAGGTACAAACACCCTTCTTCAGGCATATTACGTTTTTTTAAATTTTACATCAATGCAATGAGAAATTAATTTCCACCTCCTCTTCTGCAAAGTAAAATGCAGTCTGCAGTCAAAAACACATTTTGGTACAAAGTAAAGTCATTAAGGGTGTTTATACACATGCTCCGGGAGGTGGGAACAGAGGCACTTTAGAGTGGCTACAAGAGCTGTTTTAATTAAAGCACCCAGAGTGTCACATGTATCAGTGTTCCCACACTGTAAAATGCTGGAGGGGGCATTTTAACCAAAGCTTGTTGAATGAACTTTAGTTAAAACACCCCCACTGCCATTTCTCAGCACAGGGACACTGATACACATGACGCTGGAGTCTGCTGGAGTGTGGTAACTGCCATGCTCCAGCAGACTCGATTAACCAGGTTTGCTCCAATGCACTGTAATTACAGTGTCAGATCTGCCTTGATGCACATGTATAGTAGGGGTGTGCAAAACAGCCTGTACTCAATTCGGATTCATCCTGAATTGGAGACAGTGATTCGATTCGTTAATTTGGCTCACTGTCCCAATTTGATTCGGCCAAATCTGAATCTGAAGATTTGATGCGGATTCGGAGAATCAGCGATTCGGTCATAGACACAGCTTTAAACGTTTTTTCTACATACCTCAAGGTACCAGGCACGGCTCATAAACACTTCAATGGTGGGGCAGATGGAGTGTCCCACAGGTGCGCAGGGGGAACCCCCCCTGTGCGCTTGGTGGCAGACCCAGAAATGGACTGGAAGCACTTCCAGTTAGCTGCCAAGTGCACAGGGGACACCCCCCCACACAAAGATTGGCTATTGGGGGACCCCAGGTGCCCCCCTTAGACCCAGGAGGCACCAGTTGCCAAGCTGGGGGGGGGGGGGCGAGAGAGGAGAGGAGGATACCCCATGCACTCCCTAGCGGACCTGGAAGTAGACCGAAAGTGCTTCTGGTCCACTTCTGGGTCTGCTGCAGAGAGCCAGATTCGGCCAAATCAGGCCAAATCTCCACCAAATTGGTGACCGAAGCTTCACACAGCCCTAGTTTATAGGTGCCCATGGGTTCCAACAGAACAAAGCACGTCAGCAAATAGCCAAGTTAAATGGGACTTAGGAAACAGGTTTAATCACTTGTATGAGCTGAACCCATAACATTTGGCCACAAAAGCAGCTGTAGTAGAAAAGGGTCGTCATTTAAATGGTGAAGTAAATTATGATATAACCAACCCTAACTTGATTTCTCCTTCAAAGCAGACTTCTTGCACATGGCTTTGGAGGAAAGCTCAGTCAAGTCAAAAACCAAGAGCCAGAAAGCCCCTTTTCCTTCAAAATTGCCTTTTCTAAGAGCAAGAGCAGAGAAAGGGACCTTTTTAGAGACCACTTTGATGATGGTCAATGGATGTGGAAGGAGTATGACGTAGTCAAGACTTTTACTGTGTACATGGGAGAGGAGTTCAGGGTTCCTGCAAACATCACCTGGTTGGTTTGGGTTGCAAAAAGCAGAAGGCCAAAAAGCAAAAAGCATCCAGGCAAACATGGACAAAAAAAAAAAAG